GCGGGGCGTGGCCGTGTCGCCCGGCGGCGCCGTCGCCGTCCTGGAGCAGCCCTCCAGCCCGGGCCCCGGGCCCCGCAGCACCAGGGTGAAGGTGTTCAGCCCGAGCATGCAGCTGGTCGGCCAGGTGGACACCTTCGGGCTGAGCCTCCTCTTTCCCGCCAGGATAACTGCTTCGGCCGTGGCCTTTGACCCACAGGGGAACGTGGTTGTGGCCGACACGTCGGGCCCCGCCGTGCTCTGCTTAGGAAAACCCGAGGAGCTCCCGGTGCCGGTGCCGAAGCCCGTGGTCACCCAAGGGCTCGCCCACCCTGTGGCGCTGGCCTTCACCAAGGAGAATTTGCTGCTCGTGCTGGACGCTGCGTCCCATTCTGTGAAAGTCTACAAAGTTGACGGGAAATGACGGGGAGTGGGGTGGTGGGGACCCAGCGGTCGGGTCAGACGTCCTGAACTGTCAGTAGTGACCTGCCACTTAACTCCTCCCGACCAGGCCGAGGTAATGGTGGCCGCCTGGTGGCGTGACAAAAGTTGGCACAGGTATTAATTAAATCCACCATTTATTGAAAGTATTTTCTTCATGCTGAGAAATGTTCGAGTGTTAGCTCATTTGATTCATAATTACAACAAATAATAGTTTGTGTTATCCCATTTTAGAGTTGAAAAAGTGAGATACCGAGAGCTTAAGCGACTTCCCGATGGTTATTGTGACTTTTTTGACCTTTATACTATCTCTTGAGGTAGACAAGGAAGGTTTTATTAAGAAATTTTCAAGGTAAAGCAGCTAACACAAATTAAAGCACTTAATCAAGGTGGTATAACTGACTGAGTCCTGGTATTTTAGGGTTCAGCAGAGTGGCCAGTCTGTGGGCAGCCAGAGTTGGGCATCTCTGGAGAAACATTCTAGACATCTCTTTGTGGAAAATTTACTACTTAAATTGGTTTCTGACAGCCCCAGGTAATGTTCAAGGGTGGGGAAAAGCTGCCACCTTTCTCAGCTGAGATCACTTCATGATGTACACCAATCCTGCCCACGTCTGAGTGTCACGTGATCTGCATAACAGCCCTCTGAGGTGAAATGGAAAGAGACCCCTTTAAGGCAAGAGTTAACTAAGGACTTAAGGGGTGGGCGGTAACAGTCAAGTTCTGCTGTTTCCCTGAACAAAATGCGTTTGCTTGCTTCTTCATTTTCTTAAAGGAAATGCGCTTGTGTTATTTAAAGCATCAGTGAACGTCTATAATTTTGGAGCTTTCTAGCACACAGTGCTTTGTAGGTAACTCTGTAATGTAACTTCAGACTGATGTAGGGCTTAACTCCTACACTTGGGAGGGACTTTGAGAACCAGGTGCCACGTGGTAGAAACCTGGCGAATAAAAGACCCTCTTTCCAAACACCCCCTAGGTTCCCTTCTCATGTTATGTGTCTGTTCATCGATTTTTTTTTGTAGTTATTGTTTCCTTTGAATTATAGTCTTAATACATGTTCTTTGTAGAATTAGAAAAATATAAATAAGCATAAAGATAATTAGTTTTAATTAATGAAAACTACTGTTCACATTTTTGCATTTATTTGACTTTTATCACTGGGGTTAGTATTCTTGAAGATCACGTTATACATCCCAAGTTTCTAAAAACAGTCAAATGCATCACATAAACTGCAGACTCATCGGCCAAAAAGTAAATCTTAGTGGTTAATTTAACTGAAGTTCCATCTCGGAGATTCTAAAATATCAGAAACAAACATCCCATGGTTGGGAGCCAAAGGGGGAGATTAACTTTCCATGTGCCCGCCACATGCCGCTGCAGTGCAGCCGGACCACATGACCGTGTCTTGCTGTGAACAGAAGACATGAGGCAGAAGAAAAAAAAATGAAGGTACAAATAAATTTTGAGGTTAAGCAGAGGTTTCAAGTTTCATAATGAAAGAACTGCAATCTGCAGTTGTAAAATATTGTACTTAAAAGAGTTTTGACAGTAAAACTTATGGAAAAGCTTTTCAGTCATACAAAATTTACATTGTTATAAGAAATTCCAGTGTATCTTACAACTTCAGGGTATTTCTTTCACTAATCATGAGGGCAGTTTGTCCTCAATGGTACACAAAGGGAGCAGAGTTCCTGAAATATATGGAATCAGGCAGCAGGACGGCTGTGAGCTGTGTGGTCCAGTGAGTAACAGGTGTTAGGATCAGAGGACTCCCCCCAGTACTCCAGTGCCTTCATATCAGCCTTCTGTCTCCACCCCCTACTCAGCCTGTTTTTTTGATGAGCACAGTGTTCTAAAATAGTCTGCACTTTAATGACCTTGCTTCCCAGATAAGCAAAGCTGTGCAGTGTTTGCTTTTTTGAACCACTGATTTGTGTTCCTAGACTAACTGAAAATGATGAGATGGGAAGCCAATTCCATTACATGTTGGAGTTAATTTCTCTAAGAATACAGTATTCTTACATGTTAGATAACAAAATCTAAATCTTAAAAGCTATTGCTTCCTCTCTTCTGATAAATCAGTAAGAAATACTTTGTCAGTATTTAATTTTGCCAGGTTGGGCATGGTGGCACACACCTGTGATCCCAACACTTGGGAGGCTGAGGCAGGAGGATCACTGAATTCGAGGCCTACCTGAGCTACATAAGGAAGTTCAAGGCCAGACTGAACTGCATAATGAAACACTGACTCCAAAAAAAAAAAAAAAAGCTACAAATTTAACGTTTTAAATATGTATTTGGTTGTTCCATGGTCTCACTATGCAGCTTGGACTCATGTACTCATAGTGGTCCTCGTTGTCAGCCTCCCCAGTGCTGCGACTCTGTCAGGCTCAGCCCACCCTGCGGGTGCTGGTGGGGCTGCTGCAGCTCCTGGTCTCTGAGCTTGCCTAGGCAGGCGCTTATTCGCTGAGCTATCTCTATTTAACTTTGCTAAAAGTCTATCTTCACAAGGGAGGTTATCCCAATGCATTTATTCTCTATGATGTTTATCAGCTTTATTTTTGTCACAGTTTAGTATTATAATTATGCAGGCCTTATAAATTGGAAATTTCCCCCTTTTAATTTCTGAAAAAATTGCATAACAGTATTAGTTTTTCTTCAGTGTTTGATAGAATTCACCAGTAAAACTTGTAGTCAGGGGTTTTCTTTGGTGCAAAGAGTTTCACTATGAATATTATGAATTTAATGTCTTTATATAGGACAATTCAGATTTTTTGCTTCATGTTATATGAGTTTTGTAACTATTTTTCAAGGATATTTCCAATTTAAGTCACAGAATTTGTTGACAAACTTGTTAAACGTATGCATTTTCTATCCTTTAAATGTCTGTAGGATCTGTGGTGGTGAGTCTTCTCTCATTCCTGATGTTGGTAATATATGTATTTTCTCTTATTTTTCTTGACCTGTCTAGCTAGAGGTTACTTGATTTTCTTGATTTCAAAGGATCAATTTTTGGCTTTGTTAAGCAATAAATTTGCCCTGAGCATCAAGTGGGGTTTGTTCACTGACTGTCCTGAGTGTTGCCTGGACAGGTGTCATCTCAACCTGTTGATTTTGTTGTTTGTTTGTTTGTTTGTTTGTTTGAGATAGGGTCTTGATATGTAATTCAGGCTGGCCTTGAACTCACTTTGTAGCACAGGCTGGCCTTAAATTCACAGCCATCCTCCTGCCTCAGCCTTCTGAGTGCTGGGATTCCAGGTGTGCCTGGCTATCAACCAGTTGATTCTTGTATTGAGTATGTTGTGTGAAATCAGTCGGATCCGCTCACAGTGAGTCTTGAGCCACCAAAACATCTCACATTTGAGGGCTAAAGCAGGTTAAGGAATGTGCAAAACTAATTAGATGGAAACAAACTACTGTCTATATTGCCTTCTGGCATTCACCAAACTCTAAATTCACACAACACTAGTGGGTAACATCCCAGGTGAAGGATCAAAGAGCAGACAGGGTGCCTCCAGGAAACAGGGTTATCTGTGACCTTGTACCCCAGCTTGTTTACAGGAGACAGCAGGTCTCCTTGGGCTCTGTTTCTTCTTCTATGCTCCCTTAGGACAGCAGGCTTCTGTCCCATTTCACCACAGAATAAATTTGATAAATTGTTCTTATATTTCCTGTTATAAAAATTAATGAAAAATAGGCAATTTTTGGTTATCCTATATTTAAATAATTGGACTGCTAAGTGGTTACTTTTCTACTTTATTCATTTCCTTTTTTACACAGGGCCCTCACATACTAGGCAAGTGCTGTAGCGCTGTGCACTTTACTCACCAATTCGATTTTGTGTTTCTTTTACTAACTTTGGATTTCTTGTGCTACTTTGGTAGTTTCTTAAGGTAGCACTTGAAATCAGTGACTTTAGAATGTTTTTTCTCATCTTGCATAGGCTTTGAGAGCTAGAAATTTCCCAGCATAGATTTAACAGTGTGCCACAGATTTTGATATGTTGAACTTTCATTATCATTTGGTTAATTTTGTTAAAAGATGGAGGAAGGTGGGGCTGGGGAGATGGCTCAGCAGAATAAGTGCTTCCCTGGCAAGTGCAAGGCCCTGAGTTCAATCCCCGGTTCCGCAAAAAAACAAAACAAAACAAAAAAAAGATGGAGGAAGGGTTGAGGGAGAGACAGAGTGAGGGGAACAGAAAAAGAATCAAGGTGTCTATAGCACATTTGTAGTTGGGTGGAGCCGGGAGCCCCGAGTCCAGCTCGGATGCTGGCTGATGGGAACAACCCCCATAATAAATGTAATCATGGTCTGTAAAGGTACTGATGTTGATACAATTGTTTAAAACTGTAAATGTTAAATATTAAAATATATAAATATTAATATTTCTCTTGTGATCTCTTCTTTGACTCCACAGATTGTTATTATTATTTTGTCTTATTTTGAAGACAGTTCTTCACAATGCAGTTCAGACTGGCCTTGGATTTACTTTTTAGCCAAGGCTGGTCTTGAACTTTCAACAGTCCTCCTGCCTCAGTTTCCCTAGGGCTGTAATTATAGATGTGCACAACCATGCCTTGCTTTCCAAAGACTGTTTTAAAACATTTAATTTCTGAACATTTGGAATGTTCCTATATGATTGTTACTAATATCTAATTTAATTCACAGTATTCATAAAGCATACTTTGTATTATGTTGATCGTTTTATTTGTGGGTGGAGATAAGACTAATTGATGAACTGGTTAAGGGGGACACACAGTGGAAGCTTTCAGGAGTGCAGGGCCTGCCATTTATCCAGGGACCATGATTTGGGACGTATTTCACCTCATAACCCTCAGGAAGGCAACACTTCTTGGCTCCATGTCTTGAATTTTGTCTGCATTGAATTTGGTGAAGCCCCACTTCTTAAGAGCTGTGGCTCTTCTGGCAGCCAGGGAACTTGAACGTGGCCCTCCATAGGGCCTCAATCCCAAGCTCCTTTAAGGAGAGCCCTTCCAAGTCCCCTTCGAGGTCTGAGAGGTTTATATTTATAATCCCGTGGGAAAGTTATTGGAATTCTAGTGAGTTAATTCCAATCTACCACTTGCAGTGCAACTCATGATGAAAAGGAAAACACTAAAGTATATTTGTGGTGGGGCGGAGCCAAGGGGTCCTAAGTCCAGCTAGGATGATGGCTGACTGGAACAAAGGCCCTGATCCAGGGCTGGGCCTGGGTTTTATTAATTCATGAAGAAGGGAGTGGCTTGGGGACTGGTTACAGAATGGTGGGAGGTACATGAGTGCTGTGAGCTGAACCAGGTAGGAGGCCTGAAAACACCTCTGCAGTATGCAGAGAGATGCATATGCACGAAGAGTAATCTGTAGAACACACTTTGGGGTGGTATCTGATGTTTAGGGGTTCTGTGCTTCAGCTCTAATGTATAGTGTTTTATGTCCTGGGAAGTCATAGCCTCTTATCTCAACACTTGATTCCAGCTGACAGTGTGGAGCATGGTTCTCCCACCCAGATCACACATTTTTTTTTTAAACTGGGAATTGAACTCAGAACCTCCTGCTTGCCAGGCAGGCACTGAGCCACTGGGCTGTATACCTGGCCCTCACACATGCTTTTTTCACGGGGCGCAGTAATGCTGACCTGTTGCCTTGCTTCAAAGGCTACACACCAGCTCCTCGGCTGGACCAATTTGCGTTGCTTAAAGCCAATTGAAGGGATAAGAAAGAGTCCTAACCAGCTCTGCACATGTCAATACATGGAAATAGGGCCAGGTTTAGACAAACAGAGATGACTGTCCTTTCAAGGAGTCGTCCAGGAGGTCCTCCACACTCTTCGTTCTGCAGCTTGGTGCAGATGGACATGATGAGCTGTCCAATGTAAACCCTTACCACTGCACCCTGAGGCTCCTGCAAGGTCTGGTACAGGAATACCCACCCTGAAGCAGTGTCTCTAAGCCCTTTAGGGTGGCCCACACAAGCAACAGGCTTCAAGCACTGCTGAGGAGCTTGATGTCAGCAGCCACTACACTGGGCACCCAACAGCAGAGGCATCCTCTTGGCTTCATTGACTGCAGGCTTTCAGTCACTTTAAATTCATTCAGATATGTTTTATTGCCCAGCATATAGGCCATCTTGGCTGACATACCATAATGTGAACTTGAAGGAATGTAGTATAAAGGGTATAATGTTCTGTAACAGTGGTTATGTTATGCAATGGTCAACAATGGGGATGAAGCCAGAGACCTGTGTCCTTAGGTGACTCTCACTGTGGTTGCAATGTGGACTGTCATACAGACCCAGATGCTATAGTTCAGTTGCTTCATGTGGCCACTTGATGCAATCAAGAGACATGGTTGGAGACTGCTGCCACTTCAGCATGGTATGCTGCTTAATAGTAAACTTGTAAAAATGTCAGCTGAAGGAGCAACAGTGAAGTAACAACTAAAGATATACATAATAAATATATCAATAATAGTCATTTATCATCATATCAACTTGTCTCTGTTACTCTTTTCTTGTTGCTGGGACAAAATACCCAACACCCAAAATTAAGGAAGGAACAATTTATTTAGCGCACAGTTAGTGTAGGTTTCAGTCCATACTCAGCTGGCTCCAAGGCAGAGTGGCACATGGTAGAGGGCAGCAATTCATGGTAGCAGAAAACAGCAAAACAGTAAGAGCAAATGGGAGGAGCAGCCCAACAATGGCTACAGGGAGCAAGTCTGTCTCCCTTCTGTTGCATTCAGGCTATCTTCCGGGTGTAGCACTCACACCCACAATCCCAGCAATGGATCATGAATTAATTACAAAGTGTAAAAGTCTGCCCCATGACTGCATAAGGCTTTGGGGGGACACCTGGACACAAATCATAACACAACTATTATGTAAATCAGGTTTGTAAACCAATGTCACCTGTACTCCCAGCACAATGGGAAGTTGAGGCAGGAGGATCACAAGTCTGAGCCCAGCCTGGCCAACATAGATGCTGTCCAAATAAAAATTGAAGACTAGGAATTGAAAAGACTGGTATGGGGAAAGGGACTTAAGAAGATGTATTATGTACACATATAGGCTCCCCACAATGAATATGATTATTGTGTACCACAGATATGTACTAAGTAAAACAAACAAACAAACAAAAAAAGAAAACAAAGGCTAGGGGTGTAGCTTGGCACAAAAGCCCTGGGTTCAATTGCCAGAACCCAAAACAAACAAAAAGTATTACACATGATACATAACATTGCTAAACTTCTATACAACCAGCAATGCAGTTTGTTTACACTAGCCTTGGCACAAATACATGAATAATATATTGTGCTGTGTGTTAAGAGGGCTGTGATACCACTAGCAGGTAAGAACTTTTCAGCTCCTTTATAATCCCTTGGGACCACCACTGTGTGTGTGGTTTGCTGTTGAAAGAAACATGGTCATGAGGGTGCAGGACTGAAGTGCATGATGTATTAACTTAGGTCAGTGTGGTTGATAGTTTTATTCATTTCTCTTACGTCTTTATTGATTTTTCATGGATTTTTCTATAAATTGCTTAGAAGTCACATTAACATTACAGAAATGTTTATGGAATACCTATTACTACTTTTAATTCTATCATTGGGGCCAGCCAAATAGCTCAGCAGATTAAAGGGTCTGCAAGCAGGAGCAGGGGTCTGGGGTTTGATCCCCGGGCCTGCCATGCCATGCCAGCCCTGCTCCCAGAGAGTGCTGACACAGCAATTGAGACTGGGCATGATGGTGCATGCCTGTAATCCCAGTTCTTGGGTAGGAGCCTGTAAACAGGCGAATCACTACGAGTTCGATCTCTTAGTGAGACCCTGAACACCCGGTAGACCCTTCCCTAAAAAATATAGAAAAAGAAAATTCTGTCATTCATGTATTTTAAACTCTATTAATTGGCATACACACAATTGCGATTGTAATGGCTTCCTGTAAATTGACTTTTATATAAAGAAACACCACCACCACCCTTTGTCTCTGTTAATATTCTTTGTCTTGAAGTTTATGTTGTCAGGTGTTAATACGGCCATATCAGCATCCTAATGGTTACTGTTCACATCACGTCCTTTTTCTCATATATTTATTTTTCACCTTTATTTTTCAATTGTGTTTTATAGAGAGCCCTTCCTGATTCTCATCACAGTCCAGGAAGTTTATATTTGTAATCCTATGGATAAGTTATTGGAATCCTGTCAAGTTAATTCCAATCTACCACACTCAGTGCAACCCATGGAGAGAATAAAGACACCAAGACATATTTATAGTTTTGGGGAGTCAACGGCTCCTAAGTCCAGTCATGATAATATATCTGGAACAAAGGCTTGACACAAGGCTGAACCTGGGTTTTATTTGTTCATGAAGGAGGAGTGGCTTGAGAATGAGTGACTGAGCATAGCGGGAAGTAGGTGAGGGCCATGAGCTGGGCTAGGTAGGAGGCCTGCATTCACCTCCACACTATGCAGACAGAGGATATGCAGAAAGAGTCATCTACATGCCACAATCGAGATAGTATCTAATGTTTGGGGTGGGAGCTTCAGCTCTGATGTGTACTCTTTCAAGCCCCAGGAAGTCATAGCCTCTACCTCAAGGCTCATCCCAGCTGACAGCATGGAGCACTGGCTCTTCATCCCATCTCAGCCGGCTCACACTAAAGAGCAGCATGTGGGATTTCTGGAGAAACACTAACTGCCATCTTCAAAGACTAACCACTAGTACCTCAGCTGGATCAATAGGCATTGCTTAGAGCCAATGGGGTAAGGACAATTCCTAGCCAGCTCTGCACATATCAATACACAGAAATAGGATCAGGCTCAGCCAAAATGGAGACTCTTCTTTCAAGGAGTCACCCAGATAGCCCTCCACAGTGGAGGTTTGGTTTGTGCCTTGGTATCCCCTCAAAGCGTCATGAGGTCATAGGTGGGACTGTCAGTAGGTGGCTGATCTCTGATGGGTGATGCTGGGATTAGGAGGCCCCACCCTGGTTGAAATATAAGGGACAGGAAAATTCCTTGTTCTCTTCCTCCTGCCATCCATAGTGACTTGCTTTCTCCTTCCTGCCCTAGCGCACTATGAGCTGTTTTTCCTCTGATGCTCCTTCGTCATGTCACCCTGCCTTGGAGCCAGCTGCTTACAGACTGAAACTCTACAAACTGAGCCAAACTACACCTTTTCATCTTTAACCTCTAGTGCTGGGTATTTTGTCTCAGTAATGCAGAAAAGTAACTAAGACAAATTGCACCCCTTGAAAAGCACAGTTTTAGCTGGGTGTGGTGACACACGCCTGTAATCCCAGCACTCAAGAGGCTAAGGCAGGAGGATTGCTTCGATTTGGAGGCCAGTTTGGGATACAACATGAGTTCAATGCCAGCCTGGACTACATAGTGAGACGAAAGAAAGAATGGATTTTATTTTTTAAAAGCTCATTCTGCCTATTTTTGCCTTTTGTTGTTTAGTATTTTAATATTTGACATCAATATAATTGCATTTAGGTCTTTCATTTTGTTTTCTTTTTCTCCCCTCTCTTTTTTTTCTCAGTTGTTCCTTCTGTCTTCTTGTAGGTTAATCACTTTTTTCAGAATGTATGTAACTTATCTGTTGAGTTTTTAGCTATACTTTTCTGCATTATTTTTTCAGTGGTTGATTTAGCAGTTTATAACATATATTTTTAAAGTCTACCTAGTATTAATATGCCACTTCATATCAAAAGCAGATTTATTGTCATACAGTTCCTTTTATGACCCTCTTTTATGGTTTAGTTATCATTTGCTTTACCTATAAACTTTCCAAGACGCGGTTACAATCCGTTAAAATTGTCTAGAGAAAATAGCCTTTTGGTTCATAGGTCGAGGCCGCCAGCCAATCGCAGACCTCAGCAGGAGGAAAGGGGCGGGGTCGGCACGATCGGCGGCGCAGGGGTAAGCGCGAGAGGGAAGCGTGGGGGCTAGAGCTCCGCCCCTCACTCAGGCTACCATTTCCTGCCTAAGGAGCGGGCCAGGCGCGGGGGCGCGCGCGCCAGATCCTCCCCTAACGCGCGTCCCCCGCTACTCAGCCTCCGCCGGGGGCTGCGTCACGTGACCGCACCCGCCATAGCGGCAACGTGGAGGTGAAGAAGGCATCTCCGCTGAAGTGACTTGTGGCCCAGCTGACTGAGGGCTCGAATTGTAGACGATTAGAAAAATACAGTTTGCCTTATTTTTCTTCCACATTGATGAGACCTTAACAGTTGGCTGAAAAAAAGTGCTTAAGTCCCTGCTTTGGACAGTGAATACAAATCTTTCTGCGGGCCTCTTCTTCTGGAGTTAGACTGCTGCGGGGGGCTTGGCCATGGAGTGATATTGATTTTTAAGATGTGTACATCTCATGATTGATAAGAAGAAACAAGTCATGAGCCAGAAGCCAAGATACTTCTCTGGGAAATGTCGCTGCTGATGGTGCTTTACAAAGTCAAACAATGAGTAGTTTCAGGAAAGTTTTCATATTTGGAAGATTCTCATCTTGGAAATATAGCAAATAAAAATTAGATTCTTTTGCGAAACAATTCCCTCCTAATAAGTTGTGCTTGTCATGGGAGACATGGAAAAAAATTCAGTTGTATATAGGGTTGTGTGAAGAACTGTGAACGAAGCTAATGAGCATATAGGGTTGTGTGAAGAACTGTGAACGAAGCTAAAGAACTGTGAACGAACGTTGGAATTATGCTCGCAGAGCTGCAGGCCCTTACGGATCTCAAGTCCACAGATGTGTTACAAAAAATGCAGGGAAGCTATGGAGATGCCTGTGGGATTTTTACCAGGTTGAAAATATCTCCCAGTGAAGGTTTCAGCGGAAACCCTGCAGATTTGGAAAGGAGAGAAACATGTTATGAAAGAACTTTATACCTTATAAAAAGCCAAAAAATTTCCTTCAGTTAGTATGAGAAGCATTACAAGATGTCACTTTAATTATTTTAGAAATTGCAACTAAAGTATCACTGGGCCTTTCTTTCTGTCAATTTCCAGAAAGAAATTCTGTGTTTTGTGGAGAAGTTTCTGTCAAAGAGGAAGGGGAAGGTGAAACTGACTGG